CACTGTCTAACTCTACCTGTCAAATTTAAAAAAAAAAAAAGTTATAACAGCTAGTTCCTCTGCAGACAGTAAGGAGAAGGTAGACTTCAGCAGTTGAAAGCAATGACCCTCGGTATAGCATGAACACATGAAGTCAACTCTTCCAGCACTCACCTACAAGGGGGAAAGCTGCTGTAAGTTTCACCTCTGACCCTTCAGAAGCCTGGAATATACAGATACACAAGGGGTCTTCAAAAAGCTTATGGAAATGTATATCATTAAAAATAACTATGCAAGGATTTCAAATTTTTTACATCAAAATGAACTTATCTTTTAATTCCATTTCCCTATGAACTTGTTGAAGCACCCTCATATTCTATCCAGAGCTCCTTCTTTCCAATATTTGAGCTTGTTCTCTGCAGTTACTACAATCATCCTGCCCTTCTCCCACGTCCAACTTGCTATTAGGAATCCAGAGTTCCACAAATTCCTCCCAGGGAGCTAGATGTTTAATTTCTTCCTAACTGCAGACAAACAGAAAGACAGCAAATACACTCTTTAAAAATAGAAAAAAAGTCTCACTTCCTCAACATCACAACGCAGTCACAAGTAGCCTACAGACACAGATTTACCAGCTTTATCACACCTGTCCTTACCAAGGTACAATTTCAATTTCAACCAAGGGAAAGTGCAAACACCATGGGAGAATCCTAAAATGTGAACCAGTCATCAGAGGGTGCTCAAACAGCCTCTCGCAGATCACACACAGAAACTGGCACAACTGTTTTGGTCTCCAAAGCATGAGGGGGTAAATAAAGAACATTTCTCTGAGGCTGCCCCTGGGCCCCAGGGAGCACCCTCCCCCAGGGGGGTATAGGTATGAAGATCCAGTCTCCAGTTCCTCTGTATCACCGTGGGTCACTGAGTCCTATGTTTCTGAAGGTTAATGCCGACTGCTATGTGCCACTCTACATAATGTAATTAGCCTGTTAGGAAAGCCAAGTCCTGAAATGTTAAGTCACCTGCTTAGCTACACAGGGTGAGGAAGTAGCAGAGTTTAGGACGCAAACCCACACAGTTTGCCTCTAGAGGTCACGGTCCTAAATTAACCAGCTCCTTCAGTTGCCTCTAGAAAAGCTTGCTATCATCACTTTGCTCTGGGTCCTGGGCATGTATCAGCCCAGGTCTGAGGAGATCAATCAGGTTCTGCTGGCTTCACCTGCCTCTGAAAGTTTACTTCGGGGTTCAGGGGCTCCTGCATTCATGGACAGCCTTTTTCTCTGGCTGGCCCTCTTTTTGCTCTTGCACTGAAGAAGCAATATACACTGCTTTCTAAGAGACATAATTTCTGGTCCATGGACCTCCCCTCACTTTCCTACCCCTCTGCCTTCCTTCTCTTCACCTTTCCTTTCCTTTTTAACCAGTAAAGGCAGATTTTCTCTCCCTCTCTGTCCCCTTCCCCTCCCCCTCCTTCTTCCCTAGAATAAAAAAAATGTATGAGTTGGAAGTCCTGAAAAGAGACATAGCTGGAAAGAATTAAGAGTATGCTAAAAGAGGCTGGTGCTGTGGCACAGTAGGTTAAGCCTCTGCCAGTGGTGACAGCATCCCCTATGGGTGCTGGTTCTAGTCCCAGCTGTTCCTCATCCCAATCAGGTCCCTACTCATGGCCTGGGAAAGCAGTGGAAGATGGCCCAAGTGCTTGGGCCCCTGCACCCACACGGGAGATCCGGAAGAAGCTCCTGGCTCCTGGCTTCGGATCGGCACAGCTCCAGCTTTTGCAGCCATTTGGGGAGTGAACCAGCAGGTGAAAGTTCTTTCTCTCCCTCTCTCTGTAACTCCGCCTCTCAACTAAATAAATAAAATCTTTAAAAAAAATTTTTAAAAAAGAGTTTGCTAAAAAGTAACCATTAGTCATCAGGGAAATGTAAATCAAAACTACATTGAATATACCACCTGGATGGATAAAATAAAATATACCACTTGGATAGATAACAACAAGTGTTGTTGAGGAGATGGAAAAATCAGAACTCCCATACACTGCTCCTGGGAATGTGAAATGATGGAGCCGTTTTGGAAAAGTCTGTCAGTTCTTCAAAAGGCTCACCACAGAGTTGTCATATGACTCAGAAATTCTATTCTTGGCTTATATCCAAGATAAGTGTCCACAAATATTTGTACATGAATATTCACAGCAGCATTATGCATTATAACCACAAAGTGGAAACTACCTATGTGTCTATCTGCTCATGAACAGATAAGTAAAGCGTGGTGTATACTAACTAACAATGCAATATTATTTGACGGTAGACCGGGATGAAATACCGAAATATATTAAAACCTTGATAAACCTTGAAAACATTATGCTAAGTGAAGGAGGTCTGTCACGAACATCCACATAGCATATGATTAGATTTATATGAAATGTACAGAAGAGGCAAATTCGGAGAGACAGAAATTACAGTACCATTTCCTAGGGCTGGGGGTTGGAAAAGAGCAGAATTTCCAATGGAATTTCTTTTTGGAATTAGACATGGTGACGGCTGCATAACTCAATCAACATACTGAAAGCTATTGAATTGTATACCTTATATGAGTGAATGGCATCGTATGTTAAGTTATATTTCATTAAAGCTTTCATATTGAGGGAGTGACTTTGTTATAAGGTAAACTACTAGTCTCCAAAAAACGTTTTGGAGATAAAAAGTTCACAAATAGAAGGATCCTCTGGGATATGTACCACTAATTCACAAAGGAAGAATGTTTGATTAGCAGCTAAAATGTACACAGTTTCTGAAGGTGAATTTAGAAGCGTGACTCAGACTCAACTGGAAAAAGTACAGCCTTCAACTTCTGCAGCCAAGCTTAAGACATTGTCAGGCAGACCACTGCTTTTCAGACAGAATTTCAGAGTTAAGTGAGGGTTCGCCAGAATACCCACACAGGTGTCTGCTTATAATGAGATTCTGGCAGAAATCAATAAGTCTACGACTAAAGTAAACACAGGGTCTCCTAAAGCAGCAACTCTCAAAATAGAGCAAGAAGTTTTGTGGCTAATGGCACATAGAGCATTCATATACTTTTGGAAACGGAGAACAGTTATTAGAGATTTGCCTTTACCCTTTTTAGTACTTAACTTTCAAACTATTACTAAGCCTTTTACTCCCACTATGTCTGGGTCAAGCAGAAAATCAGCTTACTGCTTTCTTTAAAAACAGGCAATCTATTCATTGATCCAAGGAGTTGGCGTTGTGGAAAACCTTTTTAGACAGGAACAAATGATGCTTCTTCAAAGAAGCTGAGTTGAAGATTTCATGCGAATGCACAAAGAAACATTTAAAGAATCCTGTAAAGTCAGCTGACAATTTTCTTGGACTTTAAGAGGCCAAAAAAACCTTCATTCATGCACTGTTAGCTATTAAATAATATATTTATTTAACGACATTTTATATGAGTCAACATGCCCTTCCCTACTTCTTAACATCCTTGAATATCCAAGTTTAAGTTGGACTCTTATGATTCAAGGTCAGAATACCATCTTTTCGCCTAGAAAACTACTGAGCTCAAGAAAGTTATTATTCACTACTTCCAAAGTGCTGCATCAGAACTTTTCTAAGAAGTGATGGGCCTCTCCTCCTCTTCACCAACTAACACACTGCATTTTTCTGGCCTGTGTTTTCTAAGTGTTGAATGCTTCCCCTTTCCGCCCATCTGTGTTAAGGTTGACAGTTTCTTGAGGAAAACAGCTGGTGTTAATTACCAGAGGCAACCCAACTGCATATTTCACTAGTAGGTGACATGAGCTCTTGGAATGGAAACTTGTCCCCAAAGAAACACCCCTGCAAGTGTGGCCAAAGCTTGGTGTCCCATTCCAGTAGCCTGTGTAGTAAAGCCTGGCTTTTAAAGTAATCTATTTCATTAGGCAACTCCACTCGGAAAATCTATCTAATTTCTATCCCCTCCTTCCTCCGGCTGGATGCCACCGTCGCAGCCCAGGAGCAGCTCACGGAGGGTGGAAGGCCCAGTTCTCAATTTCACAGATACAAGCAACAACCCTGTACTCAGGAGGCAAGCCGGCCAGGAGGCGCAGCTCATGCCCACAGGAGACGCCCGTTTTAAATTGTGATCATTCTCATCATGGACACTTTGTTTACTTAAGGCATATGCATTATGGAGTTGGGTTTGGGGCTACTGATGTAACTAGCACCAGTGATGATTAAGTAAAAAATTCATTCTTTCAATACAGAAAATGCGTCTTCTTGCCAGAAAGCAAGCCTTCAGCATGTTTAACCTATTAATGAGGCACAGGATAAATGCAAAACAGGAAAAGCAGTTATCACTTTACGGCCACCGCACTCGTCTCGGCTGGTGGGGGATGCAATGATGTACCTACTACTGGCCCTCCGGTCAGCTTCTCCTGGCGGCCAGGTGCAGCTTAGTACTTTTAATCTCACAGTATTCGTGACGTGGGTCAACCCAGAGCGGAGTGGGGGGGGGGGGGGTGAGCACTCAATCTCCCAGCAAGAGTTGAAACCTGACTTGGAGAGGCAAGTTCTTGGTGGTGAGCTGTCTTCAGGTAACCCTATCCACCTCCTGATACACAAACGCCACCATCAGGGGTACACCTGATGCACGCACCCGCGTGCACAGCTGAGTTATCAGATCTGCCGGCTCCAAACAGGCACAGGTCCGATCAATAACCAAGAAGAAATCCCCACCTTCCAGATCCTCCCGGAAAAGTTAGCCCACCTCTGCAAACCCTTGTCCCGGAGGCGCTCTGCCAAGCTTGCTAGTATTCTCCCGGATACAATTAATCCTCTCCCCTTTGTAACCCTCCCCACCCCCGCCCACCCTGTCATCCCCAAGTGACTGGAAGCAAAACTTAATAGGTGCAGGGCTCCGAGACGCGTCCTCTGCGCAGCACGGACTTCCCAGAAAGGAGCGCGCAGGCAGGCGCAGGACCCCTCCGGACACCTTCACGTCCTGGGGCTTCCCCCTCCCCCGAGCGCGGCCCCACGGCTCACCTGCGTGGGGCATGGTGATGGTCTCGTTGGTGTTGGAGCCCGCGTTGAAGATGACCACGGCGGAGGCGTTCTGCAGGAACGCGTTGCGGATCTTGTCCCTGTAGGTGCAGTTGCCCTTGGGGATGAGGGCTATCCAGTTCTTGCCGTGCGTCGGAGCGGCGAACTTGGTGTTGGGGTCACAGGCCAGGCGGTCGTGGGCCGAGCTGGCCATGACCACCTCCCCGCGGGCGTCCTGTTTGGGGGAGTGCTCTCCGTAGCGCCCGCACTCAGTCTTCTCCGTGTGCAGCTCCGAGCCGGCGCCGCCGCCACTGCCGCCGCCGCCGCCGCCCGCAGCCCCGGCCCCCGGGTCCGGCGCGGGCTCGGCGTAGGTGATGTTCACGAAGGCGGTGTACCATTCCTCCTTCTCGGCCACGGTGAAGTCCAGACAGAGTAGATGCACGAAACAAAAGGAAAGCAGCCATGTTGAGAGAGCCAGACTGCGGCACGCTTGGATGAGAGACATTGCCATCTTTCTCCGCCGGCGCCCCCGCCCCGCCCCCCGCGCCCTCCCTCTGCCCCGCGCCTCCTCCCGGGCCCTGGCCCAGTCCGCGCCGGCCGCTTCTCTTTCCCGCGGCCGCTGCTCACTCTCCCTCCTGAGGGGCCGCGGCCGGGGCGCGCAGCCGCCGCGGGCACGGGATTCCGGGCGAGCGGGTCGCGCGGGCCCCGTCGCCTTTCAGCCGAAGCGCGGCGGTTGCATTTTGCTCCTCAGCCGTGCAGGGGGCGCGGGAGGAGAGGGCGCGCGGGGCTTGAGGAGGCGTCCGGCTGCCGAGCGTCCTGCGCCTCCGCCCGGCTTCTCCGTCTCTCATAGGGGTAGCAGGGGGCTCCGGAGCGCGCGAGGTGACGGCCCCACGCCCTCTCTAGTCCCGGCAGGGGCCGGGGTGGCTGTTCGCAGGCAGGGGTGCTGCCGAGGGAGTCCCGGCCGCCGCCGAGCGCCGGAGAGCGCGGGTCGAGCTGCTGCCGCGGCGGCCGCTACCTCAGCGCGCCGGGTCGGAGGGGCCTGCGAGCGTGTGCTGCCGCCCTCGTCGGGTGGCTGCGCGGGGCGCACTCTTGCCGCGGGACGAGTGCGCGGCCCGGGTGTGCGTGTGTCTGTGTATGTTTGTGTGTGTGTGTGTGTGTAGAATGTGTGCGTGCAAGGAGGAGCTTAGTGTGATGTCAAAGCTTCGGGGCTTCGCTCGCCGCGCTCCCTCGGTCTCTTCACGGGCAGCAGCGACCCCTGGCGGGTCTCAAACTCAGCCCCAGTGGGCGACTTGGTCCAGGTGGGGTTTGCAGTAGGGAAAAGGAGCCTTTGACCTCTGAGTACAGAAACTGCTTCCTGCGCCTTAAATACTCCTATACGGAAATGGTCGAGCTTCCCCTAAACCACTCGCCCATTCGCTGAACACGTGCGGTGACTTTCCTTTTCCAAAGCCAAAGTGTAAGGTGGGTTGAACGATGCCACAGCGATACCTAGGGAAGTGACTCCCAAATGCTGGTTTAAGACAGCCTGGGGGCCAGCGCAGGCTGGAGTCCTTGCTGCTCCTCTCCAGATACAGCTCTCTCTACTATGGCCTGGGAAAACAATGGAAGATGGCCCAAGTGCTTGGGTCCCTGCACCCACGTGGGAGACCCAGAGGAGGATCTTGGCTCAGCTCTGTTCGTTGCGGCCTTTGGGGAGTGAATCAGCGGATGAAGACCTCTCTCTCTGTGTCTCTGTCTCTCTGTCCCTCCCCCTCTCTCCCTCTCCCCACTCCCTCTCTGTAACTCTGTCTTTCAAATAAAATAAATCTTCAAAAAAAAAAAAAAAAAAAACCAGCCTGATGAGCCCTGTGTTAGCATTTCTGAGTTATTAGATCTGGGGTGAGACCCCCAATATCCGTGTCTAGCAAGTTCTCAGGCAATGCTGACACAGCTGGTCTAGCAACCACTCCATTAGGGTGGGTGTAGGAATGGGCCTCTCTGCGGCCAGCTGGGAGCAAACGCGTGGCATTTGTTTTGCAGAACTGATGCCTTCTAATTGTGAGAAGCTGGTGAGCTATTTCTCCACTGTGTTTATTGCAGTTGTCATGCCTGGTGACAGAGCCCCCGGGGCATCAGCAGGCAAGGGAGGTTTGTTTGGGTTACTGTTGTTTATGTGTGTTCTCCCGGTTGTGTATGGAGATTACCACCAGTCAGCAGAGAGTGTGGTATTCCCAGAATGGCATTCTTGAAACTGACACAGCACAGTTCTTCACAATGTTAAATGTTTGGAAAATTGTTATCCCTTCTCACCTCTGGTTTCCTTCACTTGAGATCCATGTCATAAAGTTTGTAAAAATATGTGTGTGACAGTTCTTTTTTTTTTTTTACAAAAGATCTATTTATTTATTTGAAAGTCAGAATTACAGAGAGTGAGAGAGAGAGAGCGAAAGAGAAAGAGAGAGAGAGAGCTCTTCCATCCACAGTTCATTCCCCAAGTGGCCACAGCTACAACCAGGAGCTTCATCCTGGTCTCCCACGTGGGGCCTAAGCATCTTCCGCTGCTTTTCCAAAGCCATTAGCAGGGAGCTGTATCAGCAGTGGCACAGCAGGGACTTGAACCTGATGGGATGGCCGGTTTCTTTGGCCATGGCCTTACCTGCTAGGCCGGCCCCTGCTTGAAGATTCTCACGTACCCTGTCCTTCCCAGTGGATCTCTGTCAGAGAACCTGGAATCCAATTCATGTTTAGGAAAGAAATCCACCTTTCCCAGGACCTCCACATGCGTCCAGCTTTCTGTTAATGGCTGCCATTGGCATGACTTCTCCTTTCCCAGCAGCAGCAGAACAAACAGCTGGTGGCTGTTAGGGGAGAGCGAAGAACCCCAGCTACACCCAAATTAGAAGCAGGCACAAGAACTACTTACAAGAATTTGTCTCTATGGTATTTGATGGGCTGGATTTGTGTGTGTTCCTAGCTTGTTCATTTTTGAAACTAGGCTTCTAGGCAAGTGGGGCAGTGCTTATTATAGTGTCTCATGCCAAGAAGGCATGAGTGGAGACTGCCTAGCTGCTGGTTGCTGAACCACCAGAGAGCTGAGGGAGGAGGCCATTGACTGCAACCACCCGGCTAGTTCTGTTCAGATACCTTCACCGAAACACGGGGTTCCCCAACCTTTCTGTCGCTACTGTTTCTGCAGCCTCAAAAACTGGAGAATCTGTCATTGAGAATTTACAGCTTTTCCTTATCCTTTCTATCTCTTAGAAAAGTTATGGGTGGGGCTGGCACTGTGGCGTAGCAGGTAAAGCCGATGCTTGCAGTGCCGGCATGTCATATGGGTGCCGGTTCTAGTTCCGGCTGCTCCACTTCCAATCCAGCTCTCTGCTATGACCTGGGAAGGCAGTGGAAGATGGCCCAAGTCCTTGGGCCCCTGCACCCGTGTGGGAGACCCGGAAGAAGCTCCTGGTTCCTGGCTTCAGATCGGCACAGCTTTGGCTATTGTGGCCATCTGGGGTGTGAACCAGCTGATGGAAGATCTCTCTCTCTCTCTCTCGATCCCCCCCCTTCAAATAAATAAATAAATCTTTAAAAAACAGAGAAAAGTTAGGGATTGAAGGGGTGACAGTGTTACAGAGGGAGCATCCTGGCTGGAAGATTGGTTAATTCCAGGGCCATTGTGCAGATAAGTGAAGTGACAGCCGGGTTTTATATTGTTGGAGAAGGAATTTCCAAATAGGCAAAGAAAATGCTATAAAAAATGCTGAGACACTGGATTTAAAAAATGAGTGTGAAATCGTCTTTTTATAATGATATGTATGTGTGTGTGTCTGTGTATGTATATATATATACATATACACTATATTGACCATAGCTCTCTATTCCAGGGCATGGGGTCATGAAGTGGCCAGAAGATTGTGATTTCTAAATCCCATCCTCCAGGAGCCAGGGATGATTCCAGGACTGGGGCTGAAAAAGTACAGAGTTTCAAACCTCCAGTAGGAAAGTGCTGAAAACACGGTGAGAAAATAACCCAAGGACACATGAGTCAGCTGGAAGGGGCTCCCACTGGCCAAACTGGGGGCAGTTTGGGCATAAAATAATGATAGTAATGGATTATAATCTATTTTAAAGGAAATGATGAAGCAAAGAAGCAAGGGAGAAGTAAAAGCTATCCTTTGGTAGCAACACCTTCTAATAAGGCTCGATGGAGACAGGACATCACCATTTGACAGTGTTGGTTGATTCAGGCAGGAGTCCTCAAAGGAGACTAAGACTGGGATGTAGATATTTGATATAATCAGGATATTAGCCTGATTTTCTGGAAAATGCATATTTTATTGAGTATTGGGGGGAGCTACATATTTTGGAGAGAAGACCAAGCTGACCAGTTGACGATGGTGAATATCACCACTCATAGAACAAATTGTATCATCTGCCTCCTAAGGAGATGTGCTGATAGCATCTGTGACATATCCCTGCCAACCATTCACCTTTTGTGCCTGATACCAGAAAACACGGATGGGCCCAGGGTGACAGGCATCTTAAAAACTAAAGGTCTGTACTCTCTGAAACTCATAAATCTATGAAAGGCAGAGAAAAACAACTAATATCCAAATTGGAGAGACTTAAGTTGCATAACAACTAAATACAACATTCGACCCTGGAATGGCTCCTGGATCGAAAGGAAAAATTACCAGATGGGGAAAAAATGTGAATGAGGCCTGTGGATTAGATGGTACATTTTATCAGTGATGATTTCCTGATCTGAATGTTTATCCTGCAATTTTGTACAAGAATGTCCTTGTGTGTGGGATATGCACACTGAAATATTCAGTAACCATTCTGTCTAAATCTTGCTCTGAAATTTATCATAAAAATTAATGATAATCTATAAACTCCTTCCACTAGCCACTCTTTTTTTTTAAAGATTTATTTATTTTTTGAAAGTCAGAGTTACACAGAGAGAGGAGAGGCAGAGAGAGAGAGAGAGAGAGAGAGAGAGAGAGAGGTCTTCCATCCGCTGGTTCACTCCCCAATTGGCCACACCGGCCGGAGCTGCACTGATCTGAAGCCAGGAGCCAGGAGCCACCTCCAGGTCTCCCACGTGGGTGCAGGGGCCCAAGGACTTGGGCCATCTTCTTACTGCTATCCCAGGCCATAGCAGAGAGCTGGATAGGAAGTGGAGTAGCTGGGTCTTGAACCAGCGCCCTTATGGGATGCTGGAGCTTCAGGTCAGGGCATTAACCCATTATGCCACAGCACAGGTCCCTCCACTAGCCACTCTTTCAGAGAACCTGAAATCTTAATTTTTTTTTAAAGTTTAAAGACCACTTTTTTGGAAGACAGTACTATGTTCCCAGCTTTATGCTAAAAAGATTTTCCTCCAAAATAACCACTCTTTTTTTCCAGTGGCATTTCTTCACCCACTGAGCTGGTGGCTATTTGGAAAGAGCAACGAACTCTTGCTATATCCCACCACCTGCTAAATGTACACTGTCCTTGTAGATAACACTTCTCTGTATTTCATGTCTTCAACAGAACTCATTGAGCATTTGTTATGTCTTAGGTGGTGTTCAGGCACTTAACATACAACAGGAAATAGAACGGACAAGATTTTTGCTGTGATGGGATTTCTATTTTGAGAGGAGGAAGTAGAAATTTGAAGTTTTGGATTATGTCAATGTTATGAAGGAAAGGTAGAGTACAAGAGGGTGACCTGTTTCACTTATGGTGGCATTTTAAGTGAGCGATACATGTGGATATCTGGGGAACTGGTTGTACCAAAAGAGGGAACCATAGGTTCAGGGGCCTGAGGAAGATTGTGTTTGATATGCTGAAGAATAGCAAAGAAAGCATGAAGAGTGGAAAAGAATGAGAGAAACAGAGTAAAGGAGATGGGAACAGAGAGGTTGTTGGGGAGACCAGATCACTTGTAGACTTGCAGTCAAGAGTGAGGACACTTAGGGTTTTATTCTGAGTGAGGGGAGAAATCTTTGGAAATTTTTAAGTAAGGAAATTTACGTTGATCTTGTTTTAAGGGTGTGTTCTGACTGTCTTGCAGTAAGTATTACAGCAGGAGAATAATTAGGAACTACAACAATGATTCTGGAAACAGCTAGTGACATGACAGGAAGGTAGCAATGGATGTGCAGAGAGTTGACTGGGTGGATTTTGTTGGTGGAACAAATTTTCTTCCCTGCTGCATTTCCTATGGGCTGTGAAGGAAAGGAGGGCTCCGGAAGAACTGGTCTGGAGCCTAAAAAGCAGCAAAATGGGGTTGAAGGATTGCAGGGGGAGCTGGTTGGGCTAAAAATCAAAAGTTTGGAATAGGGTCATCAGGGTGCTTAGTGGTACCCCAAATGGCAAGGTCATGTAATTTGCCTCAGCATCGAATCTCAAAAGGGAGATGACAGATTCAAAGCACATGAAGACGACTTTCTTTTTTTAAATGCATTTATTTATTTTTATTTGACAGGTAGAGTTATAGACAGTGAGAGACAAAGAGATAAAGGTCTTCCTTCCTTTGGCTCACCCCCCCAAGTGGCCACTACGGCCAGCACTGCGCCGATCTGAAGCCAGGAGCCAGGTGCTTCTTCTTGGTCTCCCATGCAGATGCAGGAACCCAAAGACTTGGGCCTTCCTCCATGCCCTCCCTGGCCACAGCAGAGAGCTGGACTGGAAGAGGAGCAACCGGGACTAGAACCCAGTGCCCATAGGGGATGCCGGCACCGCAAGCAGAGGATTAACCAAGTGAGCCACTGCACCAGCCCCACACATGAAGACTTTCAAGTTATTGACCACACAGGATTGCCAACTTGCTTTCCCTAAGGCTGGCTTCACTGTGCATCCATGTAAAGTGAAAGCCCTAAAATGCTGGTCCAAATAGCCCCAGGAGACAGCTTAGAGGTGAGTGCTGGCCTCTAGGAGGAACTCTCTCCACCAGCCAAGAAAGCCAGACTAAATAGAAGTAGCAGGTTTCCCCAGAGTTCCAGTGTAGTGAGTTGATCTTATTTCATAAGGGGTAGTGGCAGATTGAACTTAAATGTGTGTCTGAGTCAGAAGCAGAGCTGCCCTATTTCTTAAGAGCAAATGGGACTTTCCTTAACCTTAACACTGCTTTTGCATCTTTCCCTTAATGTACATGACATGTTCAAAGGGAATTCTACCTCAGACTTTTAAAAAATGAATTATAACATTTGAGAATACAATTCCTCCTACACATACATATTTTAATGGTTCAATAAAAGTTTTATGTGAAGAAGATTTATTATACAGGGTTTGATCCATATTATATTTTACAATGATGGATGACCTGTGCTTCAAAAAACATGTCTATTTACTTTTTTTCATCTATTTGAAAGGAAGAGAGAGAGCAGGGTGTATGTGTGTGTGTGTGTGTTGTGGGACAGGGAATTTCACATCCACTGGTTACCTCCCCCCCACCACAAACAGTTGAAGCTGGGCCAGGCCAAAGTCTGGAGCTCAGAACTCCATCTGGGTCCTCTGCATGGGTGTCAGGGACCCAAGCACTTGAGCCATCATCTGTCCTTGCCAGTGTGCACATTAGCAGGAAGCTGGATCAGAAGTAGAGTAGCTGGGACGGTAACCAGGTGCTCTAATATGGAAAGTAGACATCCCAAGTGGTGGCTAACTCTGCCGCATCTCAGTGCCCACCTACAATGTACTTTTTTTCCACAATGTACTTTTTAAAAGTTAATGCCTGTTCAATTATTTGACAAATGTTCTTTCTTCACAATAAACTTATAAATAATGAACCACATGACAGAAAAGGGGAGAATCCTTTAAAATATGTTCCATATGTCTACAAAACAATAAAACATTCTGAAACTAGAATAAGGGATTTATAATACCTAAGTATAAATGCTGCTATTATTATTATTATATCATTAAATTGCATTTCTCTATCTACCTATCTATCTTTTTACCCATCTATTTATTTGAGAGACAGAAAGAGAAAAAGAGCCCCCTATCCTGTGATTCACTCCCCAAATGCCCACAACAGTCTGGGGCATTCAGACCACAGTCGGGAACCAAGAAATAAACAGTGGTCTCCCATGTGGTGGCAGGCACCCAATTATATGAGCCATCTCCTGCTCCTTCCCAGAGTTCACATTAGCAGGAGTAGAGCTAGGACTGACACCCGGCTCTGTGATATAGGACATGGGTGTCCTAACCAGGGGCTTGCTAAATGTTCTCCCCGGCATTTGTATTTTTAAAATTGATTTCCTATGGATAACTGTGGCATTTGGTTTCACATGCCCTGACCCTAAGACTTTTCCCTCTTCCTGGTCTCCCACAGTTGTTTGGAGAAGTACACTGATGCAGTAGAGGACTTGGGCTTTGGTGCGAGACAAATCAGGATGAGCATCTCAACTCTGCCACATAGGCTATTCCAATTGTGCTGAGCCACAGTCTTCTCTTTAAATCTGGAGAGATTATACCTCCTCCCAGGACTGTTGAAAGATTAGAAAGGGCAGCATATGTTGGGCACATAGAAGAGTGAGACTACAAGGACAGGTCAGGATGAGAGTAGGGGGAAACAAGAATCTAAATTTTTAATATCTAAAACTTTTTAAAAAGTCTATGTATTCAGTGATGTATACAGATACTCAAATATATAAATATATACTCATACTGTGTATACTGTATACATATATACCATATGTACATGTATATATGCATACTTTATATACTGTATACATCTGTGTTATATGCAGGTTCTCAGGTGTACAGATAGATAGATATCTGACTTTTAGTGGGGTTTCATCCTGATCAACCCATTGTAAGTTTGTAAGTTAAAAATATTGTAGGGCCGGCGCCGTGGCTCAATAGGCTAATCCTCCACCTTGCGGCGCCGGCACACCGGGTTCTAGTCCCGGTCGGGGCGCCGGATTCTGTCCCGGTTGCCCCTCTTCCAGGCCAGCTCTCTGCTATGGCCAGGGAGTGCAGTGGAGGATGGCCCAGGTGCTTGGGCCCTGCACCCCATGGGAGACCAG